AATAAGGAATGGGGATGTGGATTTAAAAACTAATCTTAAATCCACTTGAGGGTAGTAACGACCAAGTATGCGTTTAAGTTGATTTTTTAAATGTAAGCTTTATTTGCCAGTATAAGGAAGACACGAGTATATAGTAAATTTAGGTACAGTTGGTATCTTAATTGGATTTGTGAGTTTCTTTGTTAGGAAGGTGTTGGTAATGTTTTCTAATAAGTGTTGTGGATAGCAGTTACGTTTCAGGATGTCATGTAAGAATGAAATTTCAGAGTGTAGATTAAGATTATGCTTACTAAACAGAGCTTACAACCTGAGCTCCACATATATATATATATATATATATATATTATAACTTATAATGGCACAAATAATAGTTAGTCACTGTTCAAAAGGGCAATAAAACAATAAAATTTAATTATAAATAAATGTATATTGTTATGAATTTAAAGCTACTTAGGATAAACGAATGTAGTTTCATGTTAAAATTTGAAGTCATTCTAGAAAGAAAAAAGGGTAATTTAGATTTATTTCGATTTTTTTCTGGTGGTTAGGAGGTCAGTCAAATTGACAAACTGCATATAGAGTTAAAGTAGAGAAAATAACAGATAAACTATAAAGTTTTACTGAAAACAAACATTTGAAATGTATTTAGGAGGTTACACAAATGAAGTCTGAGATTTTTGAGATGATGAAAAGTATTTTTAATCCTAACATGAAAATCACTTTGTATATGGACTATTCAAAACAAGTACTGATATTCAAGGACAAATCATTTTTTTAGTTTATTAAAAATACGTTATTAAAAATGATTTTTTTTATGTGAAAGACTTATAATGTTTACTAAAAGACTTCCCAACCCAACTCCATAATCTTGTGTTGCATCAAATGTGCCACATGTGGACGTGCATTGTTGTGGAGAAGGAGAACACCTTTCCGATTGACGAGTGAATGGAGTTTCTGATGAAGGGCTTGACTTAAAAATTCCAGTTGCTGAACATAGATCTCTGCATTGACAGTTTGTTGTATATTGTGTAATGAATTACTCCTTTGATGTCCCACCAAATGCAAAGCATCACTTTCTGCAGTTATGCCTAGGACTGAGCCATTGTTTTTGGCATTTAATATTTGCATAGAAAATCATTTTTCATCACCGGTGACAATTCTGTCCAAAATTGGTTCATGCACATTATGTGCCAGAAGAGACAAAGCAACATTCACACATTGGTAACGATGATCATCGGAGAGTACGTGAAACACCCAAACACCTTCTTTAAGGAGTTTTTCCATTTTCCTTAGATGTTTACATATTGTTTTATGAGAGACATGCCATTTTAGGGCCATTTCACGAGTATGTTGCCTTGGGTTAGACTCAACAAGTGTCTTCAGAGCATCAATATCAATTCCAACATGTCAGCCCCTGCCATCACAGTTTTAAGGCTAAAGTCACCTGAACGAAATTTGCTGAACCATCGTTGACACTTATGAACATTCAAAACATTTCTTTGATATTCTTTGTGGCTACAGAGGTGTTGTTTCTCTTCTTGTATTCAAACAGCATTACATGCCGAATGTGTGTCTCGTCATGTACCATCACTATAAGGGATTAGAGCATACTAAACTTTACATGTTATATAGGCTACACTAACATGACATTTAGGTGGTTCATTTAACTATTATATGTGATGTACATTTTTTGGGGGGTGGTTAATGAAAGTGTTCCAAAATGTGACATTTAATTCTTGACGACCTAATACAAACATCAACTCAATAACTAAAGGTAGAAATTTGTAGTTCAGCAGTTACAAGTACAAACCTGCAGTCAACTAAAAATATATGCCTTAAATACAGAAAATAAAATATGAACCTGAAGTCCAGAAAATAAAATATGAACCTGTCGTTCAGTATCTAAATATGGTATCTGCAGTTTGGGAACTGAAAGTATGAACCTTTAGTTCAAGGACTAAAAATATGAACCTGCAGCTCAGAAACTGAAAATATGAATTTGCAGTCCAACATCTAAATGTATGAATCTACAGTCTAAGAACTGAAATAATGAACCTGTAGTCCTGGAACTGAAATAATGAAACTGTAGTCCAGCACCTAAATGTATGAATCTGCAGTCTGGAAACTGAAAGCAACTCAAAATATGTTGAGTTGATGCAACTAATAGTTTGAACAAGCATTTTGGCAAATAAAAGTAAAGACCTGCAACTAATCATCTAAAAATATTTACTTGTAGTCTTATAACAAATTCAAAATCTGTATTTCAGCAACCCAAGTTATAAACTCACTAAACTTTCTATCCAACACTCAAACAAGCATTATAAACCCAGAGCCTTAAGTATGAGAACAAAATGTCTAGGCTACAGTCTATTAATTACAAGTGCAAACAAAAAATTGAAAATGCAGATCTGCAAACAAGTAAACATTGTAAACATGCAGTTCAGCAAATAGAAATTTTAACTTTCCGTTCAATAACTAAAAATATTAACCAGTAACTAAAAGTGTAAATTTGCAATAAGCTAACTGAATATAATTATAATGAAAAGATAAGAGTTCAATAACTAAATGTGCTCATTTGCATTCTAAAAGTATAAACATGTAACCTAACAAGTGGTGGTCTGCAGCCTAGCAGTAATGCAGTTGAAATTTTCTAGTTAAATAACTACCAGTGTTATAAACTAATAAATCACCTATATATAGAAAAAGTACATATTAATGGAAGTTTAAATTCTAAAATCAAACAAAGAAAATAATTTCATACCTCAACTTGGTGAAGTTGATCAAAATTTCCTATTTTTTTTATTCGAGAATGGGTCAAGTCTACTTCCTAAATAAATAAAATAATTATAAAAACCGATGTGAAATTAATGAAATTTGTACCATTTAGTTGAAGATAAATACAGAATTTATTTCCACTCAGCTGAAAAAATACACGTAACTTTCAAATATTTTATCTAATGTAACAATAAACAATTAAAGCAACCCAACACAGCTGCTACACATTTAAAAAGTTCATTATTTTAGTGTTATTGTCTTCTGTTTTTATCCCAAATTAACTGTCCTTTTCTTAATTAGTTGCTTTTTAATTTCTCTGAGTGTTTCAGGACCTGAACATTATCATTAGGAATATTTTTTCTTTTATGTAATTTTGAAATTGACACAATCTTAATAGTGTAAGTTTGACTTCTTAATGTCACTGTCATTTCTCTCCATCAATATATATAGTTATTTATTTTTGCATAACAGTATGTTCTATGTGTGCTTTAGCATTTTTCAAAATGATGATACCTTTAATTTGTTCAATAGCACTGGTCGTCAGAATCAAACTTTTTTCTCTCATCAAAGATGTAAGCACAATTTTCTAGACAATTTTTGCATGCTGATTCCAAATCTGTTTTCGGTTTACTTCTAGCACATCTAGTTATAGAAATATGACTGGTTATAATTTCAGCACAATTTAGGTAATAATCACACATTAGGCTAGTAAATGTTACAACATTATTCATTTTTCAGTATAATTCCCATAAACGTTATACACACCATACACTTGGTTAAATTTATACAGTACACACTTACGAAAAAAGAAATGTACAACATCTTAAATCATAATTAAGGCAATAACCTTTTAAATTTGATCGGTCTCATCACAAAATCTTGATGCGCTGGAGAAAAGCCAAAAACAGATTTGGAATCAGTGTCCCAAGAGCTATCTAGCCCATCTATCATTATATCTGATGAAAATGGCTTGTTGGCCATTGTAGTTTGTGTAATATCTGAACATTGAATGTTAACTCTACTTTATCATATCAATAATGTATGTCATGACTTGTTGGCCATTGTAGTTTGTGTAATATCTGAACATCGAATGTTAACTCTACTTATTGATATGATAAATTTATGTCATTAAGATTAAAAAACTGCATGTGTACAAAACTTTGTTATTAATGAGATAATGTTGAAAAATATTTGTCTCATACAGACAAAAAAATCCCTGTTAAAGTTGTGAATATTATATCAAAATTGTTTTTTACTCAAAAATAAACAAGTATAGGTATTTTAGAGATTTTTAAAAATGCTTTATTTACAGTACCACTCAAAGAAAAACTAATAGTAAAGCTTAACTCCAAGACTATTGAGAAAAAAGAAACATTTCTCATACCACTGCTTCTGGGTCCAGAATAATTTCATCTGCTTCTTCTTCATCATCTTTTTCTGGTTCTAAAAACAAAAATAATATCTTTGGCTAACTGGCAAAAAGACTGATTTTTCAAACATTAAATAATCTATGTTAATCATCACAAAACCTGAAAATACAAAAAAAAAGGTAATGAACTTTTATTTAACTACATATTTAAACAACCTCTCTCTCAAGTATTGAAGTACATGTAAAATTATATCTACCTTTTAAATAAAATCATGATCCAAAATAATTTCAAAAGACAAATTTCATTTTCTGTTTAGTAAGGAAACTACTGAACTGGATAATTAATTCAAAAATACAATAACAGCAACTTTTACAGTAGGCAAGTAACATTTAAATGTGACTCTTACCTGATGATGACTTAATACTATGATTCAAAAATTGTAATTATTAAAATCAGAACTTGCCTACTGTAAAAGTTTCTGTTATTTTATATTCAAATTAATTTTCCTTCAGTTTGGTTACCTTTATATCAATGTGTTTTTTGTCATTCTTTGTACCGACACATTTCATGTCTGTGATTTACATTCATCTTTAGCCTAGTTCTGTCTTCAAGGAAGTATGGTTCTTGATTTCAGAGAATTACCACAAAATTTTACTTATTCCACATTAAAAAACAAAATGCAGCAGAGGGAATTCAATACAGTAAAATTTCTTTTATTCAAGACTTGTGGATGTAGTATTTACACTAATTCTTGTACTAGTATCATGTATAACCAGTGGTCATGTTCAGAAATTACAAACTCTTGTTGAAGTCTAGTAGCTTGTTCAAAACAAGCTAATTCTCTTACAAGGCTAGTATGAGTAATGATCCTTTTCAGAGCATGCTAACTCTTTAAGTTCACAGTCTGACATAATTAATAAGTTAATTTAATATAAAAATAATTATTGTTTAAGAAGCAAAAGTGTTGTGTGGGCTTCATGATTTAATCCAGTCCTTTTTCAATAATCAAGAACCTTTCTTAATTAGCAAGCCTGATGACTGGGAAGTCACTAGCATGCACAGGCTGGTTACAGTTCTTTAATACATCTGGAAATATGCAATGTACAGTTGGGATTTATATTTGATTATTCTTTGATTCAAACAGGGATGTTTAGTGAACTTATGCATGTACAGCAATCGTGTTTAGAGCATACTAACTTTTGTTTAATGCTAAAATGAGTATTGGTGCGTCTATTACAAGACAAATATCTATGTTTCGGGTGGTGATTGCTGAATTCACCACCAATGATCATGAACTGCATACATCATCTCAATTTTACAAATTCAATAATTGCTTGCAGAATATGTTACAACAATGTAATTCTAATTATTTGTAAAATTAACCCAAAGCAAACCAACAAAAAATTTTACAATTTTAAAAAGTTGGATCTAAGTGAACAAAAACTGTAAAAGACAAATCCTATAAGGAAAGGTATAATATTCAATGTGTACGATCTAAAATATATTCACAGTCAAAATATGATACAGAATAGAATGTATTTTTATGCAAAGCCTACATGAAAGCTAAAAAAACTGGATATTTTTACTGCAGGATGCAGTTCATCCAATATTGTTTTTTCATCAGAATTTGGGCTACTTAATTCTTAGATTCAGTAGCCAAACTGTCCCTTCAAGGAAGTAAACCTTCCAGCATGAACCATAATATCCATGAATGAAGAGAAAAACTAAAAACTCATTCCCAGACCTTTCCTCCATCAAGTAAGGAGCAGGCTAAAAAGCAACTGGAAAAAGCTCAAAACACCACACACTCGAAGAACCAACAGAAGAAAACAAATCAAAGGCAGATTATTTTTGCTTTGTATTTCATTTAAAGACTGTGTTGATTACCATTGACTGGAACAACAATTTGTGAAGTAAATGTGTTTTGTTAGAGCAAAGCAATGTGTGGGCTATCTGCTGTGTCCACCCTAGGGAATCGAACCCTGGACCCCAATGTTATGAGTTTGCAAACACACCACTGTTCCACAGGGGGATTGAAAAGCCAACAGACTAAAAGAAGGTGCAGGAAAAGCAAATCTATGAATAAGGACACCAACAGTCTCAACTGAGACCCTCTCCCTAATTGCTGTGCAATGCTAGATCAGAGGTGGAATAGGAGAGACCTGACTGGCTTAAGTGCTGGAATTAATAATCCAGGGATTCATACTGTAAATATTGGCTTTCCAACCAGAATATAACAAAAAAATATTTATTTATTTATTATAAATTACTAATAGATAACAACAATATAATTGAAAATATCTCCAAATGATTGTAATACTGGGATACCTGTTGGTGACACTTTGTCGAGAAAAAGTGATAACATTATCCGAATAAGGTGCTTATATACAGTACCAGGATAGATGGAACTTTGATGTAGATGGAGTGTGTCATGAGACAAATATCCCCAAAGGCAAATAAGTGAGGTATAAATGACTGGAGGAAGTGAGAAAAAATCTGACAAATGCTTATATGGGCAAAGGAAGAAACCCTGGCAGTCGAGTAATAGCTATAAGTGGGAGAAGGGGTATGTATAATTTGGAACTATCTTTCTGACTTTCTAACTATGCAACAAGAGCCATTAAAAACTCAGCTAAGATCATCAATGTGTTTCCTGTGGGAATAAAGTTTGAACTGGAAGCAAAATAGACAATTCTCTGTGTGGAAAACAATGTAAATAATATATCATTTGAGAGATTAAAATTTTGGCATTCTATTGATTATAAATAATGTAGTATTAAACCTAAGACAGAACTTTTTACAAATCCTGAAAGAGAGGATGTGACAGGTGGGTGTGGCAAGAGGCGTCTGATTTTCTATTTTATGACTCTGTAACCAAATAAGTTTGAAAGTTATAAAAATAATGCTTTGCCTGAGCAATGACAAAATTATAATTAGTAATTTATTAAATTTTGTACTTCTCAGAAGGGTGGTAAATAAATCGTAGAAGAGGCAACACCTAGAGAGCAAATGTCCCATTTCTCATACAAGGGGAAATTCAGGATATTTTTAATATTGCTTTATAAAATTAAGAACTTAAAACTTATTTAATATTAAAATTTGGATTATTAGCTATGTTTGTATTCCAAGTTTATTCATATACCATGATAACAGTAGTTTAATTAAATTTTGAAAGTACCTCACAAAAGCCTTGTGACATGTGCAGAAAAAGATGCCCATGGAAAATTTGTTAAATTCTACATTTTTGACAGCTAACCCTAAGTTTTACCAAAACCCTACCTTACCTTCTTCACTTTCTTCTGTGTCCAAGTGGCCATCAACAGATTCCTCAACTGAAAAGGATCATATATTATTTGATTTTCTTACCTTGTCATTTTCTAAATATATGATCTTTAAAAAAATCACTCACTTAAAAAAAAGATTTATTATTTATACATCTCAAGGTAACTTTATGTACATGAGGTTGTATAATCATGTTGTTCCAAATCTTCTTTTACTAATCAACTTTCTGAAGCAAGATATCAATACTTCAGCTTTAAGATCAAAGTTCAAAATAAAACAAGTATAATTTGACTAGATAAAAATATTTAAGAAATGAGCAAGTAATCCTTTACTGAAGGAGATTAGGATGTTCTAAGTTATACATACAGTTTTTGTTCTTCAATGTATCGGATATAAGTTTGATGTACTTACCTTTACAACGTAAGTATCTGGTGAACTTCAAAAACATTGGATTTTGTATACAAATTAAAGATAACAAGACATGATTTCTAGAGCTAATCAGAAATTTTGATAGCTTCATAATGCTCTTTTGTAAAAAAAAAAGTACCAATGTGCACCAACAAGAATTATGTAAGTCAAATTTACCCTCATATTAACATTATAAAAGTCACAGTGTAACATTTTTAACTACTGGTCAATCTGAGCAGATAAACTGGAGTGAGACAATACATTAAGCTCATGATAAGACACATATCATGTTACACAAGTCATGAAACCTCCCTCCTATCTCTGTTTAAATGGCTTAAAAATAACTGTTAAAGTTTTAGATCAACACACAGTAATTTCAACAAAAGTACATTTAATTACCAACAAAGAATATGCATTTGTCTTTAAATCAATTATAAAAAATAAAATACTAAGAAATGTTAATTTTTATTTAATTAATGTGATAACAGGATGGTACCATATGTTTTTTAATTCCCTTAGTTAAGATGTAAATGTTTTTGAAAGTATTGTGTTTTTCAGAGTTACCAGTTTGGACACAGAGAGATGCTCATGTAACCACTTCAATTCCTGTTGTTTTAGTGCATATAAGATGTCAGTTCAATAGTTGGCAATTAACCAACTTACTTGTAGGGAAATTAGAAAATGACAGAAAAAATAGCTTTCTATTTTAGATGTCATTTTCTTAAGTTGCAGTGGCCAAGGATCATGTGTGCAAGATATGCTCATGTGCAAACCTGGCTTTGTCAGTGCTTTTATGTTTTTGTATATACCTCTGTAGGAAGAAGGTGGGAATCATCAATAATAAGAATCACAGTCTTTTCATAATCTTTGAGTTTTTACATATCATATGCTTGTAAGTTAATTTAAACCTTTTTTCAGCTATAGTAGCCTTTAACTTAAAATTGATTTGATTTAAGTTTTTTATAGCAAGTTAAACTTTGGGTAATATTTACTGTTTGGCTTCTATGAAGCTATGGTAAACTTCTGCTTTATTTAGAAGTTATTTAACTTTACTTTGTGAAATTAACTGCATTGCGCTGATGATTTGAAATAGTTTTAGTTATATTTATCAAATTACTTTGGACTTTCCTTCTAATATTAACTTTGGAGTTTAGTTTCATTTCAATTATAGGGACAGATTAACTTACGGGGGTGGTGGGACACATGGAGCTGATAAAAGAATTGAATAAAGGTTTACTATTACTCTTATCAGTTCATCACATTCACCACAAACATACTTACACTTGTTATGTTTTTGTAGTTGTATTGTTTTATTGTCCTGTTTTTGTGAAAGATATTTTTTCCTCATTTATATTTTGGCATTGAATCTTTCTTCCAATATTTCTCTTGTAAATCAGAGAGATAATGATTAATACTCTGTAGACCAGTATCTTAAAAACCTTTAATAAGCAGGCTTAACTGATTGCCCTTTTGGAAAACTGTTCTACACAAAATACCACAGTACATACAATTACTGATGATGACAAAACCTTGTCGAAACGTTGTACATTTGCTGTTGTATTAAAGTTTTTCTTCATTACCCATTCAAGCCGTCTCCAGCCATTATTAGTCTCAAAGTGGGTTCCTCGTCATCGAATTTGAATTACTCAGTATATTGCCAGATTTCTTATTCACTGTGCATGGATTGATGAAGAGCACATTTTAAACAAGAAGGCATCCTGAAGGGAGAATTGAGTTGCTGAAGCAGATTTGGAAGACAAAAACTTATCACACTCAACATTTGTTGTATTCTCATTGTATTTTACATTTGTTTTGCAAGGCTTGCACATTGTATTTTGTTTGTCAAATTTTTTTGAGTCATTTCCATTTACTGACAGGAAAACTGAAATTTTTCTAGACTGCTGAACTATAAAGCACCAAAGAGTCTTGAACTTTAGAGTATTAAGTTCACCTTCACTTAGCTTAGACCCACTATTTGCCATTGCTTTAAAGTTCATTTTCCAGAAGCTTCCATGCTACACATTGCATCATGGGATACATATATGTACAATTTATGTACAACCATACAATCATGAAACTAAGCCTTTTTCTTTTATGACTTGCAGAACAATAAATGTGGCAGGTTACAAACTAAAATATATTAGCATTTTTAATGCTGTATTGCAATGCATAAGCTACCAATCATGTATGGAATAATTTTGTAAAAAGACTATGATACATCAATAGTTGATGAATTGTTGCACCCCTACTGAAGAACAACCACAAACTATAATTTTCTGTGAACGCTGAAAGGTTGGTCTTAAGTCCTAATGTGGGCTAAATATAATTCATACTACAAAATACCTGTCTTATATATTTATGAATAATAATTTAGTTATATATATTATATTTCCATGGCAGGTAGTATGAAACATGTCACATTTACAAAATGACAGCTAACTTGAGTTGTGGTGCATTTTTTTAATAGAGGAAAATAGTATTTTGAACTAAATGTACTATACTAAGACAACAATCTTATATATTATATACAAATGGACACATTTCTAATCCACATATTTTATCACTCATATTTTAAGTCATACTGACCACGTAGTTTCCAACAAAACTGAAACAGCTTTTAATTGATATTAGACCACCATGACACATTGGGTCAACCACTATTCAAAGGTTATGAAGAATTCAAGCTAATATCAATATTGCACAAAAATGAAGGTTTATTTTGAGATAATTTACTTAAATATATCAATCCATTCGTGTTATTCATAATTCAAGAAAAGATATTTGATTGTTGATCGGAAGTAAAAGGAAAGACCATTTCATTTTTTCAAAAAAGTGAAGTAAGAAGTTTCATAAAGAGCGCGAACAGTAGTATGAATGATTTTTTGACTGAGAAAATAAGCAAACAAACAAATAATCTCAGAGTTTTAGTAGTATACAGATAGATTCTTCAAGATCTTGTTTTTGTCATCTTACACCTTTTAATGAAGATGGGAACATTAACAGGGAAATAATATAATAGCCAATGCTCGACAAGAGGTTTTCGTTTATAAAATTTTGTTGTTTTTCTCGACTTTATTTTTATTTTATTACCTCATCTCCATAGTTACTATTTGCATACAGTCAATAATATTGTAGGTCCATTTTATTGTTGTTCTTTCTACGTGCCGTTATAACACATTTTCATCTCATCATTTAATTTCTGTTATGCATGTATTGTTGTATCGAAGATATTTTAAAGTGATTCATCAGGTAGAAAATGAATAGATAGATAGATAACCTGATATGTGGCGCCCATCTAGTGCCCTAACTTCATATAGAAATTTTCATTAAAGTGATCCGAAAAACGGGGCTAACTCGGTAACCCGTGGCCCGATTTTAACGAAACTTGTTTTATTCTGTTTCTATTCTTATTCCATTACAAATATGGTGCTATTGTGCGCCGTTTTTGCTGTATTTAATTACAGGCAAGCATACATACAAACAATCTCAGAGTTTTAATATTATATAGATTTAACACTATTTTTAACGATTATAACTTATAATGTAAATATTTTCCTATGTATTAGAATTAGATAATATCGATTTTGCATTGAAAAAGAACTATAGAAGATGCCATATCTATTCTACATAATATCTTAGTGGAGAGGTTTGTACCTAAAATATATTATAAGGATAAAAATGTAAAAATTCATTAATATGTAATTTGATTAGTTAAATAAATGAAAAAATAT